ACGACGACGACGACGACGACGCAGCATCAGAGACATCAGAACGCCAAATCCACCTTGGCGACGACGTGACTGTCGAGCCCATCCTCATCGACTTCCCGCAGATGGTCAGCATCAACCACGAAAACGCAGAATACTACTTCGACCGCGATGTCGAATGCGTCCGCAGATTCTTTCGAAAGCGATTCCGTTATCATTCCGACGAATTCCCGCGCTTCAAAGACGTGGTCCCCGAGTTTGCGCGCAAGCAGACCAAGCTGCCCAAGTCTGCGCCGCAGCCCCAAGATGTCGAGCAAGATGCAGCCAACAACGCACAGACCGGCGACGTACGTCTCGATCTTCTCGCCAAGGCCAGCGGATTCGGAGGCTCGAAGCAGGATCGCGAACTCGAACAGTTCATGTCGTCACTCCGCCTCAGCACAACTCAAGGCATGATCGAAGTTGCAGATTCCTCCCCAGAATCAGGCGATGAGGTGGATAGCGATGAACGAGATCAGGACGAAGATAGCGACGAAGAAGAAGACGAAAGCAGCGGAGAGGATGAGGAAGACGACGAACAAGGTTCCGACGCCGAACTGTCGAGGAAGGCTCGCAAGTCTGCCAAAGCCAGTGCCAACGGCGTCAAGCCCTCCCGCGGTGCCGCCAGGAAAGCTTTGCTCGACGGCGACGACAGCAAAATCGCACAGCTCGTCGCCTCGGATCGCGCAAAGGCTACTCGTCGCGCCGAAAAACATCACGGAAAGAAGGCGCACGCCGGCAAGGGCGGCAGAGCTCATGCCGGCGGTAAAGCCAAGACCGGAAAGGCGAGGATGATCAGCGACTCCATGGATTTCTAAACTTCCGCACAACTCTCAACTGCCATCAGCATACCCTTCCCCGCTTACACGTCGTACAGCATGTAACACCCGAACGGAGCTGCACATGCCGTTTGAAGCGAACGACCCTTACACCCGTGTGATGTATCGAAATCCCATCTTCTTGCTCATCGCACAACACACCTGTGCACGATCTTTTCTTGCCTCCATCCCGCGCGAGGGGAGAGATTGTCTTGACTGCGATGCACTACAAGCCCGTCAAGTGATCAGAAGCTTTCTGTTGCTGAACCGGATGGCGTGTGGTTCTGATGGGGAAGCGATAGCGAGCATGCTGAGCAGCTCTTCAAACCCATGAGAGCAAGGCATATGTTGTGCAACGAGGCATAAGAACTGAAAAGAGGATAGTGCAGCAATCCAAGGCAGACTGCATTCAAGCTTTTCTTCTCTCCACCAAAATCCTCACGATTCTCGGAAGTCGGCAGCGGGCGGGAAGGACCCTTTGCTTCTTGTTTCTTCCTCGGCAAGAGCAACGAGGCTCATGCTCTTTGCACCTCTTACCCCTGCTTGCAAAGTATCGAGGATCTCGCATCGATCCTCGTTGCAAGCAGCGCTCACATCGAGCGGGTCATGCTCCGCATCACAGCGCTCAGCGCCTTCAGCCTCCCACGCACTGCGCTGCTTGCCGTCCCCCGATCTCGCTCTGCACCCCGTCTCGCAAAAGCGTACACCGACTCGGCTTTCAGCGTACATGTGCCAAAGGCGGCGAAGCCGCGTAAGCGATCCGATCGAAGCGACCGTGGGCATGTCGTGCATCGCTCTCCCGCACGTCAGCAGCCAGGCGGCACGAGGCGTCCAGGTTCAAACTCGGCTTCCGGCTCGGCTCGAAAAGAACGTTTGCTGGCGCTTGCGCCGCTCGCAACGGACCTTGCCTCCTTGCCCCACACCGTCCGGACGCAGCTGGACACACTTCAAGAGGCTATCGATAGCCAAGATTTGGCCTCTGTCTGGGCAGCCTGGGAGCGCCTCGGTGCAAACAGCCAGCACGTCGGTCGCGCACAGCATCGAGACATCCTCCGCCTGTCCTCCGGCCTGTCTGCCGGCGCCGGACATGTCGACCAATCGCCACAATGGAAAAATCGACTCGGCGAGTTTGCAAATGCAGCGTCGATGACGGGCGATGTGGATCTCATCACCGCATGGTTCCGGCTGTTGCTCGCGCATGGCCAGCTCGACGCCGTCGTCGGCATCTGGCAACACATCGTGCGCATGCGACTTGCCAATGCAACCCTTCACGAGCCCAAGCTCCCCAGAACTCCCGTCACAGAGGAACAAGCGGAGGAGGCGCGGTCGTTCGTCCAGCTTGACGTATCGCGAGCAGGCGACAAGATCGAAGTCCACGACATGGTCTGCCTCGTCGCCTTTGCGTGCACCTATTCGCAATCTCCCCCGCGCGTTGCTGACCTCTTCGACACGGTTGAAATCGGCACGCCCTTTCGAATCTTCTTCCAATCGGCTCGTGCCAAGCGTCTGCACGACTCGCTCTTGCCCCACCTCGAGACAGCCACCGCTCGCGCTGCAGATTGGGAGGCTGCCCGTACTACGCTGTGGGACATCGAGCTAGCGCGCGGTCTTTCTTCCGGCTCCGGTGGTCCTCAACGCATCGCTCGCCTTCTCGGCTCCCTATTTACTCTGCGACAGGTCGACGATGTGCACGCCATCTTCAGCACAGCCATGCGCGCATGCTCGCAGTCGCCACCTTGGCTGCTCACGGACGACGCCTCGCCCGCAGCCGCCGCGACCGTACCTGCCCAAAGGGCAAGGTGGACAGAGAGCTGCTGGTCCGTTTGTCTGTCCAACTTTATCGCCGCAGGACGCATCGAGCTCGCCATGCAGGTGTGGTCCAAGTTCCAAGCGTTGAAGCTGCGCCCCACGCCGCGCATATGGAACGCGCTCCTCGACGGATACGGCCGTGCCAACAACCACGCCGCTGCCGTGCAGACGTGGACGGCTGCGGTGAATCATGCCTCAGCCGGTGCTTCCGCCAGCCCGCCCGACGTACAAATGTACACGACAATGATCAACATTCATTTGCGCGCCAAGCACGTCGAGGAAGCCATGGCGCTGTTTGCCGACATGGTGGCTGCAAGTCAGCGCAACGGCGGCCAGCTCACCGTAGGTGCCGAGACGTTCAACGCTGTACTCAACGGGCTATTCCTCAACAGACGCCATGCTCAGGCGCAAGTCTTGCTCGAAGACATGCTGGCCAAAGGACCAGCGCCCAACATCGGTACGATCAACACATTTCTTCGCGCCCATGCGCGCCTGGGAGACCTGCAGTCTGTGGCATCGACCATTCGCCTCGCCGACAAGCTGCGGCTCGAGCCGGACGTCGTCACCTTCACCACGATCCTCGATGCGCTGCTGCGCCAGTCGGGCGAGTCGGCCTCCACCGACGCCGTAGCCAAGACTTTGGACATCATGAACAGCCTCGGTGTGCAGCCTAACGTCGTCACCTATACCGCCATGATCAAGGCGTGTCTCGTGGGCGCCGATGCCGCACACACGGATCTGGCATCGCAAACGCTGCTGAAGGATTCGCCGGATCGTAGGGCGCAATCTTCCAACGACGTGCGTATCGAGGCGGCGCTCGAGCTGCTCGACCGCATGATCGACGCCAAAGTCGCGCCGTCCGAAATCACCTACACTGCGCTGATCAACGGCGCCATGCAGAATCCGGATGCGGTGGCGCATGCATTCGCTACCAAATCAGTCCCTGCTCGGTATCGCGCTGCACCCAAGCCTCTGTCTCGGCTCGGCGAGACGGTGGAAACCACCAAGCGATGGACGCAGTCTTCACCCTCCGTATCTCTCGCGCTGTTGCTTCTCGAGCACATGAAGAGTCGCGGTCTACCACTAACCTCGGCGACCTACCGCTGTCTCATCGAGGGACTGTGCAGTGCAAGCGCGGACCAGGCGGCATTCTTCCGATCCATGGACGTGATCGACGACATGATGCTGCGAACCTCGCCGCCCGAGCCCTCGCGTGCGCTTGGTGCATTTGCATCCGCAGCGCTTAAGAATTCCAAGGTGCGCCCTCCCATGGCGGCGCCCGGTCACACCACCTGGATCGTCATCTTTAGCTCGCTGCTCGACCGGCTCGAATATGGACCCCGCGACAAGGTGGCGGTGGAAACGGCAGCACGCGCGCTCCACACGGCCATCCAGCTTGTGCGAGAGATGGGCTCGCTCGCTGGTGCAGACGGCGGTCTGTCGCTGTCGAGGCTCGTGGAGCGAGCAGCATCGAGGCTGGCACATCTGCCCCAGTGAGCGCCACTCTCCCGCACGCTTCAGATTCAAAACCAATGCCATCCAATGGTGTGGTTTCGTGACAAAAGCAGACTTGATTCGACTTGTGAGCAAAGAAATCATGCGAGCACAGCTTGTCGTTCCGGTTGCGCCTTTTGCGGCTGCGGATGCGGCTGTTGTTCTTGTACGGGTGTCTGTGCGACCGGTTCGGTGGTTGGAGCCTCTGGCAACGCGACACTTGGCACGTCGACACGCCCCCCCGCCTCTCGTTCGAGCTGTTCGAGTTCGGACTGTACGGCATCTTCCTCCTCGGCGGTCATGTTTGTAGCGAGCATCTCGTCGATTTCCTGGCCGAGCAACAGTGTCAGCATGATCCAATTGATCGACAAGCAAAGCAGACTTACCCGTTGATACGCCTGTGCTTCGGCGGTTTCTTCGAGCAGCCTTTCGACGGATTCGGGGTTCATTTCGGTGTGGATCTGTTTGAGCACCGCATTTCCCTGCTGCAGACCCAGCATGACGCTCTGCTGGATCTGCGAAAACTCGATCGACGAGACGAGTCCTTCGAGCGTCTCGAGCTGCGAGTCGGTCTTTTGGATCAGACTCTCCTGATACTTGCGTCTACGCAGGGCGGTGAGCGCCTTCGCCTTGTCGCCCTTGGCGAGACAATGGCGTGCAATTTCATGCTCCCGGTCCAAGATCGTTTGCAGCTGCAATGGATCCACCCCTGATCAGCCTCTGAATGTCGCCCTGTGACGCGCAGTGCTGCCACCCACCTTCTTTTGATACTGCTTGATGCGGTCACGTTGAAGTTTGAGACTGCCAGTCATCCACAGATCATGACATTGTCAGCCACTGCGAGCAATATGGCTTCAAAAGTGCGGTGCTACTTACTCGAGCACGGCCCTGTCGTGCGGAGTGATCTTGGGCCCCTTGGAGCTCGTTGCGCCCATGGTTCGCGCTGATATGCCGTGTAGCCTGCGTGGTGTCCGTGAGACGCCAAGAGTGTCCGAACACGTGTGGGTGAATGGAAGGCCTCCGACTGTAGGCGGATGAGTAAGTGCCGATTGGGCGCCTTGTTTGAGGATGCTTGATGGTGCGGGGACTCGGAACTGCCCGCTAGGTGCAGGGGGATGATGGTGGAGCTGCACATCGAGCTCAGGGTCGGGGCTGCTGCTCGGTTAAACGGAAATGTGGAGTTGCGATGCGCGGTGCACCGCGTCCGAGCGGTGCCGCCAAAAATCGCCAACCTGTCCGCATCCCAAGTCGGATGCAGCGATAAATGCACGCCTCACTGCAGGCCGTTCCGCTCCGCTGACAGCTGTCACCATCCTCGTCACATATGCTCTCAAAACACTCGCAGCACACGGCAGCAGCAGCAGCTAGCAAAGTGCGGAGAGATAAAGTCCATGTTCATGATGCCCATGCTGATACAAGTACAGAAGAATGCTAGTTGAGTGCTAGGACGATAGCGGGATGTCGTCAAAAGTCATCGTGCGGTTCGTGAATGCTACTGCTTCCAGAGCGGTGAGACCTGTTCGGGTTCGAGCGATGCGTTGTCTGGCTTGGGCGACTTGGAATAGAGCGAGACACTGTTTCGGACAAAGCAGGCGCCGACCTCGTCGAAGGAGCTGGGCTCGTTGTGAGCCGGCTCTTCGGACGCCATGGTGAAGCCAAAGTTGGGATGCAGGTGGGCGGGAGCGGATGAAGGGGTGGCAGGCGTCGATGCTGTGGTAGACGAGAGCGCACGGAGCGAGGCCGAGGGATTGAAAAGCGGAAGGCTGAGCAGCTTGGGAACGGACCAGGACCGCGTCAGAGTGGACTTGGTGCCACCGCTGGATTCCGGGGAGTCGGTGGGCAGCACGGTGCCGCGGCGCTCGCGGCGACGACGGAGCAGCTCGCCAGCTTCGACAGTGAGCTGCTTGGGAGTGGTGGATGATCGTCTGCGGGGTTGAAGCCCTGCCATGCTGTCTTCCGCCAATTGAGGAGCGTCAGCGGCCACGAACTTCTCGAGAGCCGAGGAGCCAAAGTCGAGCACCATTTCTGCGAGACGCAGAACAAAGCTACCACCGTGGTTGCGAATGAGGAGCGAGTCGGCATCGTCCGAGTCGAGGTCTTCGTTGGTGTCGAGCGACTGCTTGGGAGTGGACGAGGATGCTTGGATGGTGGATGCGCGGCGCTTGGTTGAGGTGCGTCGGGTTTGCGACTTGTGTGCCGAGCTGCGACGCTGTTCGCGCAGGCGGATGATGCCGGCGGCGAGCTGAGCCTCGGGGTCCTGGTCGCCCGCGTCGCCGTGGCAGGAGCCGTCCGATTCGGAGCATTCGATGCGTACGACGGGCGCGCTGCAGGTCTTGGGCGAAGGCTGAACGGTAGGCATGGGCGAAGGGGCATGTACCGAAGAGGACGAGGACGACGCTTCTGTGGAGAGCGTTGCGATATTGGAGGTGGACAGGCGGAGAGGTTGTGCCGTGTCAATGGTGAGGGGATGCTCGGGGAGGAGTCGAGACTGGGTGGCGCTGGACGATCGGATCTTGCGCGAGGTGCGAAGGTCTGCGAACGAGGAGGCGGCAGTGGGCGGTGCGGTCATGGAACGCGCGCGCGCCATCTCGACGGGTGCGTTGGAGGTATACAGGACTGGCAGAGTGGACGAGCGGCTTCGGAGCTGGTGAGCAGCGACCGACTTGTTATGTTGAGACGAGGCGTGCGAGTTGTTGAGGACGTCGTCGTCGGTGTCGGTGGTGTCATCGGTGTCGTAGCTCATGGTGTGAGTGACGGGCGCGAGCCAGTTTGCGTCCCAGCGGTTAAGGTCGCTGTGACGGCTGGAGCGTCGCTTGAGCAGCTCATGCTGGTACTCGAGGCCGAGGGCGTCCGAGGCGACACGACCGAGGAAGTGGGTACGGACAAAGACAGGGTCATCGGAAGGAATAGATGCCGAGTAGGAAAGAGAGACCATGCCGAGTGAAGATGAGGCTCGATCGCAGCTGAGTGACAATCGAAGGCAAAGAGAGGAAAGGTGGGTGGCAGACTAGGCCTGTGTTGTGGTCGTCGTTGCTGTGGAGGCGATGGTGGTGGTGCAACGTCGCGATGTGGTCGACAAGTGACGATATCAGGCAAGCAACTGTCGAGCGATGGGGCGGGAAGTCGACGGAGCAAGAAGGAAGGCCGATTGTATATATTGCAGTCGCCATCCGACGATAGCAGAGAGAGACAAAGGGCCAGCCGACGGAATGTGAGGGCGGCGGCGGAGAAAGAGAGAGGGGGGAGAGACAGAGAGGCAAGTTTGCAACTTCTGACACGGCAAGGAGGCGGCAACCAGCCCAGGGGGGGCTCCATGTGTGGCAGCTGCACGTCGTCGGAGTGTGCAGCCGGTGCAGGTGCAGGTGCAGGTGCAGGTGCATCTGGGAATGATTTGGAAACTGGAGGGGCGTGTTCTCAGCCGCCAGGCTAGCCGAGAAACTGGGCGGTCAGTGGCGGATGGCGAGGCGAGGCGAGGTGAGGCAAGGTGAGGCAAGAGGTGAGGGCAGCTGCATGCACAGCTTGGCGCATGGGAAGCATTGGCAGAGCGATTGTTTGATTGGCAGCCGCCTGCCGTTCCGAATGCACTTCGAATGGAGCTCCGGAGCGGGGCAAGCCAGTGAGCAGCAGCCACGCCAGCTGCACGAGCTGCAGCGCCAGTGGCAGATGGCAGGCGCTTATCGAAATCGAGGCGGTTACAGTCAAAATGTGACGGAGTCCACGCCACCACTTCAATTTCCTTCCCGCTGTGAGTTGTCGCTCAACGGCCCTTCACAGCACGAGCCAGAGCCAACAGCAGCCGTTGCGTGCTTGGAGCTGATGCGGTGGCAAAAGCTCGTTCGAATCATCACGCTTCGGGAGTAGCCGAGGATTGCCAACGTCGCAGAGAGTGCCTCGACTCGCGCTCGAACGCCGTAGTCGGCGAGTGCCGTGTGACCTCCTCGACGGCACGAGCGCAGCGTGCAAAAGCCAGAGGCAATGCAGTCTCGGCTCGGTTGTGCACTCTGGGAATCCCGTAGCGCTTGTGCCTGCGTGGTCGGGGCTGGCCCAAGTTCGTTTTTTTTTTT